CGCCCGCTTCTCCCCCAAATTCCCGATACCCCCCATACGATTATTTTTGTAAAAAAAAATATCCGCTACGTAATCCCTTACCATTTTTTGTCAACCCCCCGAGCCCAAAAATAGCGTCGCGACGCTGCCCGTCGAAGTCAGTCGGGCGTAACGCGAGCGCGCCGCGCGTGCGATTATTTTTAATCCCGCTTAGAGAAGAGGAAGAAAAACGCGTACCTGTGTACCAACCTTTAGACTGGAGAGTACAGAGGAAGGTTTTTGTCCTCGTGTCCTTTGTCACGCTGTACCATTGTTCCCGGTACTCCCATAGAAATCTAGTGTCGGGTTCCTCCGATTCATTTCGCGAATCTCATGCGACGCACTTTCACTCTATATACCCACTTACAGGCGCAGGGCAGATTGAACGGAAGAGGCCGAAGGAGAACGGTCCGAATTACAGGCGCACTTACATCACGGAATTCCATAAGGAGTCATCGGGGTACAAGACACGTGTCCAGTCTCCAATCTTTTGTGTATCTGATAAATATCCAATTATCGGTCATGTGAGTATCTGCCTAAACGATTACCTGGAACTTAGTCATATTCTATATCTGTATTTACAGGTCGAGGCACAATGTGGTCTTATCACTTACTAATGAAGTTCAGAGGCTGGGAGGAGGGCGCCTGCCGGAATCCTACGAATTCCAGGGATCAGCAGTAGCCACTGGTTGACCCCAGACTGTACCAGGGATTTCTCGGTTATTTTGGGGGATGAACCGAACCCTCAGTGGTAAAAGGACACGGAGCTTCCCCGTTTGGACAAACGTTAAACCCACCGACTGACCAAGTATAGCTATCATGTACGGGTTCACCCCCGTATGGCTCCCAATGTTGGGTACATATGTGGGACGCAGCTTGACCTGGCTATCGTGCGTAAAATTGATCACCCCTAGGGGTTGAGGAACGTATAGGGGTCAAAGGTTAAGGAGCATCGTGCCCAGGAGCAGAGGGGCTTACGGATCTTCCCTCAACGCCACCCTCTCCCACCGTACCCTGATGCACGATCAAATCCTTTCGTAATTTCTACCGGGAGGACCGAGTGCTGCGCTAAATATGCTGCCGAAGAGCCTGAAGAGCCTGAAGCGCAAGATGACTCCGGCAAGTAAAGGTACTTCATTAGGATGAAAGCATCCGCTTGTAAGCTCTACCCGAGCTCCCGTTCCCTTGTACTTTGGATATGCGTCGCGACGCCTGGCGTCCAACCACCCTTCCCCGTCACCCACCCTCCTGTATAGTTCTAGAGAATAGCGTTGAGATCCGGCAAGGCAGTGGTGCCTGCTGGGTACTTTGCTTTGGATTATTTTGACAGGTTGTTTAGAAAAAATCAAAATTAAGAAAAAAAATTCACTATTTCTCTCTGTGCTTCGACACTTGTAATCTTTTATAAAACAATGCAGAGGTTGAACAAATATTTTTTCAAAAATATCTCATAGCTCTTTCGTCCACGGCTGATAAGTTTATCTTATGTGTTTTAGGGTTCGTTACCCGGATTCTGTCTGCGTGTATTTCAACGAGAATGACGCACCGTGAAGAAAAATTTTTTAAATGACCGTCTGCACTGTACCCCGGTTTTCACCGTGCCGACGGAAATGCACGAAGTCGTCGTTATACGTGAATTTTCACGAAAGCGACGGAAGCAGGGTATTATCCGCGTGTAACCTTACTTAAGAAAAAGTATCTTTAACGAGACCGACGTGAACCATTAGAAATACGTAACATCCTGAAAGGATCCTTACAACGTGGTTGCTCCTAATAATGCACTGGTGAGTCGCTGCACTTTGCCGACTGGAGTAGCTGCACGTGTCAGGGACATTTTTTTTTTATTAGAATCAAGTAGCCGGCCATACAATATGAGAGCAGTGGTACCAGTATGCGTTGCCAGTGCAATACACATATGTCATATACTATATGAAAGGCATATGTAGATTTTAATTTTACTATTTCCCACGAATGGCTGATAGAGTGAAATAATTGAAAAAAAAAAATTAGGAAAAAAAGGCCATAATCTTACCTAGCCTACATATGCATATATAGACTATGTAAAATTACCACTGCACGGTATCATATATAGATTTTAATTCGACTGTATTTTCCAGGAATCTGTTATCAGGTCTGATAACAGGAAGAATAACATAATAAGGAGCATCCTCTTACCCAGCCTCTTGGAGATCTCGCTGTTATGCATTTTTGGATTCTCGTGGGCGATTTTACGCCGTTGAAGACGCGACCAGACCATAAAGGCATTCATGGGACGTTTTATGTGATCGACCTGCATCTTCTTGGCAGCGGCGGCAGCGCCCAAGGGACTCCCAAGTCCGACGCCCATAGGACCGACGCCACCACCACCACCTGGTGGTGATCCACCTGGACCAGCGCCGATGCCCTGCATCCCCCTGAGCGTTTCCGTAAACGCGCCGTCGCACATGTTGCCGCCGGCTCTGTGAGGCAGAAATGAGAATGCGGCCTTAATTAGTAATTAATCTCGTTTACGGTCCATTATCAGTGTGTTACATTGTTAAGAAGATCTCAAGGTAAATTCGTGCAGGTTTTTATCTCTATTGCCGTGCATTTTCTTCATGCATATTGAGATTGCGAGTAAGTAAAGAAAATTTTCATTACAATTTTAGGAGGCAGCAAGCGTCGTCTACGAGGATACACTGGGATATAAGGAGTGAGATGAAGTAAGATCAATGAGAGAGACAGAGAGAAAAGAAATAACAAGGAAGAAGACAGAGGATAAAGAGAGGATCATTTATCCTGCGGTTATGAAAAACTTATGGATCGTCGAGCTGCAGGTAACCTGAGGAACTAAGCAAAGTAATTGCTTATTCGTTTGCTCTTTGATTCATAAGCAAATTAATCTTATCCTTTTCTCATATCAAAGCCATTAACCAATCTAGACGTGGTTGCAGCCGACCCTAAATGTCACCCCTGAGGGAAGGGCGCAAAATCCCGGGCCTCTCGAACTAACACAATTACCGGCGAGAGAGAAGAGAGAGAGAGAGAGAGAGACAGCTTAGGGATCTCCTTGAGCATTCATTAAAAAAAAAAAAGAAAAATAAAATAAAAACCTGTAGTGGTTGAGGGAGGGCCCCTGGGGCGGTAGTTACGATTTTGTAGGGGTTAGAATCACCCTGTGGACCCACCCTCGAGTGTCATTCAGCGAGGATTAATAGATACGCGGGTTATGGGGAAATACGGGGTGACGTCGAGGGTTAGTTTTAGCCGTGTTCTATGGGAGAGAGAGAGAGAGAGAGAGATGATGGGGAGGGGTAGGTGGGAAGGGATGAAGCTTTGGTGGAAGATGCTGGAAGTAATGGTTGTTGACAACGAGGGGGATTAGGAAGTGCTAATTGAATGTTTAGGTTAGGTACGAATCATGGGGTTTACGAAATGGGGAACCGCGATTTATTACCGCACAGTTGTGTACTCTGCCTTAAGTGTGTATCTTTCTCTCTCTCTCTCTCTCTCTCTCTCTCTCTCTCTCTCTCTCTTTCGCTATCATTAATTTTTAATGTGATTTACATACCTGTAAATGTTCATTTGCAATTGCCAGATCGTGTATTCACCGTCGTTCAAATTACCCGTCATATTCGTCAGCACTTTTATTCACTCTTGGTTATGACGATATGACGATTATATTTCACAATTAAATTATCAAAATTTTCGACTCGTCCAGTGCCAATCTTAAAGTCGACTGATAACGATTGTTCTTGTTTAGATTGTGAATATTTATATCCTTGTCTCGCTATTACAGGTCAATAGACGTGGCTTGTGGATACAAGGAGAGAGAAAGAGAGTACAGTCAACTCGAAGAGAGAAGAAGAAGAGGACAGTGTACAGTGGGAAAGGAGACAACGATCGGAACGGCAGTTTGTTGACGGGAGCGTGCGAGCGAGAGAGACAGAAAAGAAGAAGAAGAAGAAGAAGATAGAAGTAATGGAAAAACAGGAATCAGCGATGTAAACCAGTTAGCACTTTTAAGTATAGTTATTGGGGTCTCACCTCATAAAGTGGCCGGCGGCCCGTTGATGCAAGTCCAGCTCAATTTTGCTGCCGTGATTGAGACTCGCGTCTCGCCTCGATGAACACGAATAAATAATAGATCGGATCTGATCGATCGAAAGATCGATCGATCGCTAGTAGTTAATTCGCAGTGCAAAGCTAGTAGGAATTTTTTGCGGATATCGATGATTATACGTGGATCACTGCACTTTGAGACACCCACTAGGTAGACCTGTTTTTATTATTATTTAAGTATTGGCGTTTCTCTTTTTCTTTTATCTTTTTCTTTTATTTATATCTATTGTACACTGTCACCACTGAACACACAGCGCGGCGAATTAGGATTTTCTTTTAAAAAAGTTCAACCGACTTTCGAAGCTCGGAGTAAATACGATCCGAGCCTAACACCGGACCCGCAACGACGCGATCGCGCGACGCATCGCGTACCAGCGACAATAGCACAGAGAGAGACGGGCTTTGCGTCTAGTCGGTTCTCAATGGCGTGAAGTTTGGCAGGTTCGCGTAAAATAAACGGGATGCAATGTAGTTCTCTCGGGACGATGGATTTGGAAATGCACCTAAAGTGACGGAGCACCTCGTACGGATCCCGTAGGCCGGGGTAGGAGCCTTTTCTCCCACCACGTAACACTTTTGCCGAATGGCCCGTCAGCCAATGGCATTCTACCGTGGGCGTAGCTAAGTGCTACGAGCTGTACCAGGTCGCTTCCTTACTGGCTGGTGTACAACTTTTGGCCACGTCCATTTCCGACGATAACGAGCCGTCGCGTACGGCACTTACAAGCAAAAAGGCTACGTTCAATCTGTGACGCACATTTGCTTCTGTCCCATGGTACGCGCGTGCCCGCGTACGTAAGCGCATGCGACTAGGCGCACTTACATATTTCGCACGTGTTTTATTGTCCGCTAATTCGTAGATACCTCGAGGTCAGGCCCCCGAAGTGCACGTAGAGTATTGCATCCATGGGGGACGTTAAAATTCAGGATTATAAGTGTTAAATTTTGTTGTGCATAAAACATTTATCAGGGTGGTAAAAAGATGGAGGTCAGATCGAAGAGTCGAAATACGTCAAATTTTGTTCTCGACCCAAAATTCAAGCTGTATTTTGAAATTGGTCTTTTTCACCCTAGACAGCACTCCCACTTTCGATCTGAACTCCTCTTTTCATCCCTCCTGGATTCTGTCTCACAACCCGCACAACTCGTCCATACGCGAAGACGTTACCGTCGCACACTCTACTCTCTGTTCCCCTTGCTACCCCCTCGCAGCCCTTACTCACAGAACCGTCCACTGTACCAACCCTTGTTCTCGATGAGTTCTCGCTAAGGGATGATGGTAGCCTAGTTTTTAAAAATTAAAAAAAATATATTCGTTAGACCTTCTCTGGCTCTTCTAAAAAATCCCTTAGAGGGTGCTCATCCATAGGTACCATCCCCTTGGATACCCTATATCCTGTCCCTTCGCACGGACGGGTGCACGATTATCGTTAGACGCTTCGTGGAACTTGTAACCTATGAATATCTAATGCTCCCCTTGACAATTAAATTCAGACAATATGTTTTGTTTCGCATGGGCCACCCTCGGTCGCATGAATAGCCCCGCGACGAAGGGTTGCTCCGTGTATCGACACGGTGCTCCCTTTTGGTCCTTTGGCACATTGAATAACGTGCCAAGTGCAACTGCCTCTTTCACTGGATCCTCATGCCATCGGGAGCACACTGGGAGCCGGTGCTGCGTCAAAGTGCAAGATCAGATTCAGCCATAGATCACTCGGGATCATCCACGAGTAAGATCCCGGTGATCCCATTGTCAATTGATCACAGGACAATTTGTATCTGTACTTAGCCAAATTTTCACTGTCTAACAATCAGCCCCTCATCCGATGACACCAGGTCCTTAATATTGGCTCTGTCGGTACACAGCCCAAGGAACAGGTACCAGCTTCTTGCTAAGTACCATAACCAAGGGATTAAAAGCTTTGGGTGTGCTCAGTAGGCTAATACCGGACAATGAGGTGTCCGGGGTGCGTCATACCATGTTCCTTTCTCAAAATCCTCAAGTTCAATGAGAAAACCAGAATAAAATCGTACGGCGACATTGTCTCTATTGTAAAAGGTATGCGCGTCAAGGTGGCAGCAGCTGTTTCGAAGACCAGCCGAATGCCGGTCCTGCCCTTCGATTCCTGTGAATGCATTGGACAAAGCACAGCCACCAGCTTGCTCTTTCGATGTCCGCGTAATGACGTTGTTTGGAGGTTCCCTTCTGAGGTAGTCCGAAGGTGCGTCCACCTCCGACCTACCCGGACATTGTGACCAAGTAAAGTGGCGCAGGACGACCTCACGGTTCGGGGATGTCCAGGGTCCTTCAACCCTCTGCAGCCACCACTTCCCCCACTTTCTTCTTTATCTTCATCCGCCACCTCCTCTGCACTTCAGCCCTTCGGTACAGTCGATGCCACCCAGCCTCTTTTATTCCAGTCCAGGGTGGGTCCTTTCGTGAAGCGAGCAGGTGTCGCAGAGCCAGGACGACAATGCCGGCCCAAGGACCAGGGAAACCAACGGAATCGACACGGCCCTGGTCATCCCGGCTGGACTTTGGCTTACGGAGGATCCTATTTTTCGAACACCCGTCAATAATCATAATGCCCTTCCCTTTCGCTCCGATCTTTATTCTATCAGCTTCCTACCGTCCGTTCCTCTGATTCTTCTTCTCTGGTCCTGCCCATCATCCTTTTTTTCATTCATTCTCCTTCACTAACCGCTTCTCGCACGAGTGAACCAGCTTCGGATCTGCGCTAACGAGCAGACAATTATGGTGCAATGAAAATCCGCGGAGCACTCACCTGTACACTTAGCAGCAGTCAGCCAAAGTGAACGGACCCGTCATGGTTAATACTTTTCAAGGTACCTATATCTATAGTGAATATATATATAAAGTACCGAACCACATAGACTATGCAGCACAGAGACTGGCTCAGGTCTCGTAAGCCTTTTAAAATGCGACCGTCGGCTAAGTTCCAATTGTACTACTAAGCACTGGTAGCCTTCTATATTTTAGCTTAGCAATGCCTCAGCATCCACCAAAGACGAGCTGCACCCCTTGGCGTTGCAGTTGCTGACACCGGCAGGCGCTTACATGGGAATTTGCACCTTCGAAGCGGCACTTTTTTCGGTATTGAAAAAAAAATTACCTTATCTCAATTATTTCCTCATTTTCTTTCATTTAATCTGAAATTTTTTTTATCATCTATATATGTATACATACGCTGGATACTTACCATATCGATTCTTCCAGGTGTCACAGCGTCCGGATACAGCCTGAATTTGGCACCAGGCACAGTGTCAATATATACACATATTTCCACGCACAGCAACCAAAAAGGAAAAACCGTAGTAAGAAGAAGCTTCCGCGCGAGACGCGCGTGCGATTTGTTTGCCTGTGCTAAAAGCTCGAGAGCCCATTTTTCGCCTGGCTGAGATACATAAGGTGCACATAGCCCAGGCATGTAACGTGCACACATGGATATACACTGTGGGCATTCAGGAAGCTTGGCGCATTCTCATCCATCAATTCCATCCAAGCTCCACTCCGGTACGGAAGAAACTTTGAATCTGTGGTAAAAAAAATTTTTTTTTAACATTCTCTTCCTTTTGTCCCCAGCATCCAGGATGTATCTAGGACACCCCGGAGTAGCTGTTAGGATGAGAATATTCTACCGGGGGTTTCGCTGGACTCAAGATCATCTTCGATTCAAGTTATTGTAGTTCACATATATATATATATATATATATATATATGGATGGAATGGGGATGCTCAATGGTTTTTAGATACTGGTCACCCGGTGGATTTATCTACTATACATCTTATACTTACACGTGTTAACCGTGTGTCGTTTCCAATAGGAAACTAAGCTTAAGGACATATCCTCCCCAGCCTTCCACCGTACTAAATCCTCTTATGGGCATTATCGAATTCGAACTTACAATTCCTTCTTTTTACTCCGTTTACGGATTTTCCATTGGTCACCCCTCTGCCTTCTGGAAAAATCTTCTAGGTCCTTCGCGAGCTCCTTCCTTTTGAACTTGCCGATTCTCTTCTCTCTCTCTCTCCCTCTTACATCCTCACCACTACCGCCTCCAAAAAAGAGAGTCCGCTCACAAATGGAAAACCCGAGTGGTTCCACGTATTTCAGGCTTATTCTCATTCTTATTTCCCTTTTCTCATTCAGGGCACTTTCCCATATACCACATGCAGAATACGGTTTCCTTCCTATACGTGCCCTGTCCCTACTTTATACTATACTATATACCTATATTCAATATGTATATATAATACTAAACCATACTCCACCAAGGCCAGTTACTCCTCTGACACAATACAACCCCTTTTGATAACTAGCAACTATACCTATATACACAGTACATATAAGATACTACAGTAAAACCTGTCTTTATTAATTTCAAGAATTTCCTACCGGATTACGTATATAATAATTATCTAAGGCTTTCTTGTGTTATCAAACAATAATGATAATATCGAAAGCTCAATACACTTTTCTATTGGCATTGGGATCCCATATAAGAATCTGGATTTATTTAATGGAAATTGGGAATAAATAAGTAAAATGGATATTCCATGGTTTACCCTATCGGAATACGATTCTTAGTGGATCCCCCCTCCCTGCCCCCCCACCAGCCCCCTAAACCATCTAGCAGCAATGCCCATTGTCTGCTGCCTACGTTTTCCCACAAAGAATGGGAGAAAAGTTCGTTGCCGAAGGGGAGAGTCACTCGAGTCGATCGCCAATTGACTGACGTTATCCGTCCATCTCTCAGATCAGGAAGATTGCTTGGCGACTCAAACGCAGAAGAGGGATTCCTTTTCTTCGTTTTATTCTTTTATTTTATTTTTTATTTTCTTCATCTTCTCTTGAGTCTCTCATTTTTTTTTATCTACCTTGTCCCATAACTTCAATTTCGGTTCTCGCGGTTTTCAATGATTCTCTTATGTATCCTTATATCCTGTGCTCTTCATCCCCCCCCCCACAGTCCCCCCCCCATTATAGAAATCTACCCCTTCCCATGTCTTACCAAACGGATCTCTGTTATCCATTGATTTACCAAGGAGCCATGCGCACCCAGTAGCATAGAGTCTCTTTGGTATCCTTATACACTATAGTCTGTCAGCTGGTACACTATAGTACACAAATATATCTGTGTAGGAGATAATCTAATTCCAATCAGATTAATCCGAATTTATCGTACACAATGCAATTCGCTATAGTCAGATACGCAAACGTAATTGATTTTTTTTTTTGGACTTTCTAAGAACTACGTGAGAAAATATATATTTTCAATTCTGCCGTGACAATTTTTTTTCTCAAATTGTAATTTGATTCGCCATTTATGGCGATCCTTTCTGTTTTGCCGTTTGAATGAAAATGAGAGAGATGGTGATAGAGGGGGTAAGAGATGCAAAATAATAAGACACACAGTATATGGTTATTTCGCGGCCATTCTCATCCGTCTCATTCTTCGAGTTCTTTTGGGAATCACGAGGCGCTGACTAACACCTGCTTCTG